CTCAGGGCCCCGGCTGGGCGACGGGCCCCCGCTCCCTTACGAGGGGCCGCGCGCCCGGCTGCCCCTGCCTCCGGCGGGGTGTGAACCGGCCCGGCGACGCCAGCAAGGGCCGCCCTGGCCCCAGCGGGCGTGAATTGGGCCACGCACTCGGCTGGCTGCAGGCAAAGTGCGGGGATTTGCCAGGTAACTACCCCTCCCTCCCTCCGTCGCACGCCTGCAACACTGGCCCTGGAGAAAGCAGGATCTCGGACTAACCGGCCACGAGTCTGAACCAGCCCCGCACTTCCCCCGTTTCTAGTCGGAATGTCACTGCCCCAGCGATAACCGAGGCCCTTCTCAGTCAAGCCTGCCTTCCAGGCACCCCACTAAGTGGTTGGGTCACAGAATTTAATCTTGGTACATGTCAAGTAATGCACATGGGAACAAATAATCCCAACTCTATGGAGACTGTGTGGAGGCAGGAAAAGGGAAGAAGGGCATTTGTGTGCAGCCATCTTGGGCTTCTTCCACAACGGTAGGATGGGGACTGATTTGCCTACAACTTTAAAAAAGGAAAGAAGGACGATCCAGGGAACTACGGACCAGTCAGTTTTACCTCAGCCCCCGAAAAATTATGGAGGGGATCCGCAAGGAATCCATGTTGAGGCACTTGGAAAAGGGGAAAGTGCTCAATAGCATGGATTCACCACGGGCAAGTGGTGCCTGACCAATCTGATTAGTTTCTGTGATGAGGTAACTCATGGGAAAGTCAGTGGATGTGATAGACCTTGACTTTAGCAAAGCTTTTGATATGGTCTCCCACAATATTCTTGCCAGCAAGTTAAGGGAATATCGACTGGATAAATGGACTGTAGGATGGATAGAAAGCTGTTTAGACTGTCGGGCCCAACGGGTAGTGATCAACAGCTCAATGGCAGGTTGGCAGTCGGTTTCTAGCAGAGTGCCCCACAGATCTGTTCTAGGACGGGTTTTGTTCAACATCTTTATTAATGATCTAGATGAGGGGATAGATTGCAACCTCAGCAAGTTCGCAGATGACACTAAGCTAGGGGGAGAGGTAGATACACTGGAGGGCAGGGAGAGGGTCCAGAGTTACCTGGACAGATTAGAGGACTGGGCCAAAAGAAATCTGAGGAGGTTCAACAAGGAGGAGGAGGTTCAACAAGGAGGAGGTCCCTGCACTTGGGACGGAAGAATCCCAAGCATTGTTACAGGCTGGGGACAGAATGGCTAAGTAGCAGTTCTGCAGAAAAAGACCTGGGGATTATTACAGTGGATGAGAAGCTAGATATGAGTCAACAGTGTGCCCTTATAGCCAAGAAGGCTAATGGCATATTAGGTTGCATTAGGAGGAGCATTGCCAGCAGATCTAAAGAAGTGATTATTCCTCTTTATTTGGCTCTGGTGAGGCTGCATCTGAAGTATTGTGTCCAGTTCTGGGACCCCCACTATAGAAAGGATGTGGACACATTGAAGAGGGTCCAGCGGAGGGTAACCAAAATTATTAGGGGTCTGGAACACATGACCCATGAGGCAAGACTGAGGAATTTGTGTTTGTTGAGTCTTCAAAAGAGAAGAGTGAGGGGGGATTTGATAGCAGCCTTCAACTTCCTGAAGGGAGGTTCCAAAGAAAATGGAGAAAGGCTGTTCACAGTAGTGACAGATGGCAGAATGAGGAGCAATGATCTCAAGTTAGAGGGAGAGGTCTAGGCTGGATATTAGGAAAAACTTTTTCACTAAGCAGGTGGTAAAGCACTGGAATGAGTTACCTAGGGAGGGGGTGGAATCTCCATCCTTAGAGGTTTTTAAGTCTTGGCTTGACAAAGCCCTGATTGGGTTGATTTAGTTGGGATTCGTCCTGCCTTGGGCAGGGGGCTGGATTTGTTGACCTCCTGAGGTCTCCTCCAGCTCTGTGATTCTTTGAACTACTCAAGAGAAAGATCTTGGAGTCATTGTGGATAGTTCTCTGAAAACATCCACTCAGTGTGAAGTGGCAGTCAAAAAAGCAAATAGAATGTTAGGAATCATTAAAAAAGGGATAGCGAATAGGACAGAGAATATCTTATTGCCTCTGTATAAATCTGTGGCACACCCACAGCTTGAATGCTGCGTACAGATGTAGTCGCCTCATCTCAAAAAAAGATATATTGGCATTGAAAAAGGGTCAGAAAAGGGCAACAAGAATTATTAGGGTCCCATATGAAGAGAGATTAAAAAGACTTGGACTTTTTAGCTCAGAAAGAGGGGACTAAGGGAGGATATAATAGAGGTCTATAAAACATGACTGCTGTCAAAAAAGTGAATAAGGAAAAGTTATTTACTTATTCCCACAATATATGAACTAGGGGTCACCAAATGAAATTAATAGGCAGCAGGTTTAAAACGAACAAAAGGAAGTTTATCTTCACGCAGCGCATAGTCAACCTGTGGAACTCCTTGCCAGAGGATGTGGTGAAGACTAGGACTTCAACAGGGTTCAAAAAAGAGCTAAACAGATTCATGGAGGTTATGTTCATCAATGGTTATTAGCCAGGATGGGTAGGAATGGTATCCCTAGCCTTTGTTTCTCTGGAGGTGAGTGACAGGGGAGGACTCACATGAGGATTACCTGTTGTGATCCCTGCCTCTGGGGCATCAGGTATTGCTCACTGTTGGCAGACAGGATACTGGGCTAGATAGACCATTGGTCTGACCCAGTATGGCCATTCTTATGATCCTCACACACACTCCTTCTGCTAGTCTTTTAAATTGACCTATCCCTGTATCCCAACATAGGAGTTAATGCATGCCCAACACTTTCACAATCATTCACAATTGACATGATTCACAATTATATTAAGGGATTTATGCACAACTGCAGGAGCATAAATGAGCCCAGATGTAAACGAGGTTCTGTGCACTGCCTGAGCTATGGTAAAGGGGCCTAAGATTGAATGAGAATCAGGGCCAATGAATCTTCAAGGGCATGTCTTATCTTTTTCAAAAGAGGTTCTTTCGAAAAAGAGTCTAGACGCGGTTCTTTTGAGGAAAAAAACCCTTTTCGAAAGACTTGTTCTTCCCAAAAAAATGAGGTTTACTTGGTTCTTTTGAAAAAGGGTAAGACTAGACTACTTTTTTTCAAAAGAACCTTTTTCGAAAAAGCCATCAGAAGATATGCAAATTTGTGCCGAATCTGCATATGCTTTCGAAAGTGAAAGCAAGTCTAGATGTGCTGTTAGAGGACTTACACATAAAGAAGTAGTCACTGAAATAACAGGAAACCACAAAATTACCAGAGATTATCACCACAGCTGTCTGTTAAATAACAAACACGAACAGATATGTATCAAAGAGTTTATGGAGAACCTAGAACAGGGCTGGGCAGGCTGTCATGCGTGGGCTGGATCCAACCCTCCAATCACTTGGATCTAGCCTGTGGACTGTATCTGGCTGCTTTCTGTTTATAGTCTGCTGCCTGTGCCACTAATTTTCAGGCGGTGGCCCAGGCAGCAGGATCCTATGTAAATGGCTCACTGTTCCCAGTCATGGTGATACCCCAACAGAGGACAGAGCTGTAAGCCCTTTAAATAGCTGCAGCAACCCTGGGTAGCTGCCACGACTGTGAGCTCTTTGCTGCGTTTTTAATTCAAAGCCTCAGACAACTCTGGGAGGAAGCTAGTCCTGAGGCCCTGTCCCTTCCAGAGGTGAAGACAGCTCATGACCATGTACCAAAATTCATTAAGTGGTCCCCCTGTAAAAATTATTACCCACCCCCAACCTAGAAAGTAGAAAGACTAGTAATCCTAAATCTACTTCCTAGTAGAGAACTGAAAAAGAATAATAAGGGAAGTGTGATACTACTACATGAATTCATCAAAATCAGAAGCAGGATGAATTAAGTGCTGCAAGTGCCAAACGTAATTATGTAGTAGAAGGGAGTATTAAAATTCATGAGTGTGAAATAGGTGGAAGAATCTGAAAACACCTGATCATTAAGGAAAAGCAGAAATCAGTTCCGCCAAAGTAGCAAAAGGAAGGAACAAGTTTAGTGCCCAAAAAGACTTCACAACAGATTTTCACAGACACCTGAAAACTAAGGCAAATTAAGGTTTCTTGGGGCTCTGGGCCAGAACAAGTGGAGTTGTCCCTCCTGTCTGTGATCCCACTCCCCTTCCACCTGCAGCCACAGCATTATCCTGCTTTGCCCCTTCCCTCTGTAACCCTCCGTCCCCATTCCACCTATGGTCTGCCCTACTGAGGCCCTGCATCCCATTTGCCCCTTTCTACTCTCCACAGCCCCAAGACTGGAGAGATTCTATATTCCCTGCCACAGCTCTGGGGCAGCAGCAAGGGAAGTGGGAGATTCCCACTCTAGTCATAAAGCTAATTGGAGATTAGTAAAGTGCCCCCTTTTCTGGAGGCTACAGATTGAGTATGATGTTCGATAATGTCTGATCACTGACTTGAGATATTAAATAGTTTGTGAGGAATAAGGTAGGCTTGGAGTTTCTTATGTTTTCAGGATTTCATTCCTCAGGCAGTTTGCCAGCCTGAATTTTGAATTTCCTTTTTGAAATAATGATTGGCTTGGGGATGTTAACTTTAACTCAGACTTCCTGGCATTGTAAAGGGTTTAAGATGTGAGGGAGTGGAATTTGCAACAAAACTACAAAATTCTTGTAAGTTTGTCACCTGGATTCTGAATGTTTTTGTATAATTCCAGGGTTTGTTAGGCTTTTAATGCTCCCAACCACAAATACAGGTTGAACCTCTCTGGACCAGCAGGATATTAGTTAGCCATATGTCCACTTACCATGGTTGTGTCCAAGTTTCCTGAAAGTTTGTTTTCAGCCACCAGTCCTGGCTCTGTGTTCTGTGCTGTTGTTTTGCTCTAATTTACCCATAAATGTCAGAGAGCTCATTAAGCAGTGGAAGTGTTGGTAATACTGCTAGCCACTATTGATCTCCCTTTGTTCAGCAATTTCTCTGGTTTGGCAGCAGTCTGGTCCCAAAGATGCTGTATTAGAGTGGTTGAACCTGTATGTTCTTTCAACCTTAAAGTCCTTTGTCTGGTAATGTGCATATGTCTTCTTTTTGTTAACCAGCTATGGTTGTAAGACCTGTATTGGGAAGCTTCTGATCTGTGAGTTTTCATTCCTGCATAGACTAGCCTACAAAGCCTAGCCTACAAAGCCTTCAACATA